CATCACTACAAGAGGTAACAGCTGTCCCTTTTGTTAGTGATCCTGTAAGGAGATAAATAAAGCAGTACATATGTTTACACCGGACTGACTACTCCTCCCTTAGGGTCATACTATCACACTGCTACAGGTCAAATCTAAAGTACAGAATGTGAACAGGTCTGTAGTCCCTAGGAAAATAATTTTAAAATGTCATTTTATATACATCCCATTATGAGCTTTTCTTTTTTTTAAAATTCTTTTTCTAAAACTAATTACTTTTTATTAAAAAAAAAGGATAAAAGTCTTTCCTCTTAACAGGTAGCAGATTAGTTAAACACTGGAACAGACTGTATCAGGTTAACCTCATCTTCAGTGAAGGAGATGGGTTAGCTGACATCAGTGACATCAAGATTGGAGGCAGGGTGGCCTGCAGTGATCACGCACTAGCGGAGTTTGTGGTACTAAGGGATACGGGTCAGGCAAAGAGTAACATCAGGAGTGGAAAGTCTAGGAAAGCAAAATTCCAGCTCTTCAAGGAATTAGTCAATAGGACCTCCTGTGAAACTGCCATTAGGGACAAGGGAGTAAAAAGTGCTAGCAGATCTTTAAGGAAACTTTCCACAGAGCACAGGAGCTTGTGATCCCAACATAAGAAATCGGGTAAAGGTGGAAAGAGGCTGGCATGTCTGAGTCAAACTAAAGAGCAAGAAGGAAATGGACACACAGTGGAAGCAGGAACAGGTATCCTGGGAAGGGAATAGGGATGCTGCCTGGTTGTGTAGGGATGGGGTCAGAAAGACCAAGGAACAGCTGGAGCTGAACTTGGCAAGGGATGCAAAGAATAAGAGTTTCTACAGGTATGTCAGCCAGCAAAGGAAGGTCAAAGAAAGTGCACCCCCTTGATGAGCATAACTGGCAAACTTGTAACAATGGAGGAGTGAAAGCCTGTGGTCCTGAACAACGTTTTTGCCTCAGTCTTCACTGGCAACCTCTCCTCTCATACCTCTCAAGTGGATGGACTGCAAGACAGAGACTGGAGGAGCAAAGTCCCTCCCACCGTAAGAGATCAGGTTGAAGACCACGTGAGGAACCACTAGTCTATGGTACCTGATGAGATGCATCCCAGAGTCCTGAGGGAACTGGCTGATGCAGTTGCCAAGCCATTCTCCATGATATTTGACAAGACATGGTGGTCAGGTAAAGTCCCCGGTGACTGGAAAAAGGGCAGTATCACACCCATTTGTAAAAAGACTAGAAAGGAGGACCCTGGGATCTACCAACCTGTCAGCCTCACCTCTGTGTCTGGGAAGATCATGGAACAGATCCTCCTAGAAGCTATGTTAAGACACATGGGGGACTGGGAGTTTATTCAACACAGCCAGCAAGGCCTTACCAAGAAAGTCTTGCTTGACCAACCTAGTGTCCTTCTATGGTGGAGTGACTACATAAGTAGACAGGGGAAGAGCTAGATATGTCATCTATCTGGACTTCTGTAAGGCCTTTGACATGGCTCCCCACAACATCCTTCTCTCTAAATTGGAGAGGTATTTGATGAAAGAACTGCTTGGTGGCTGAGGACTTGGCTGAATGGTCATATCTGGAAGGTAGTGGTCAACAGCTGAATGTCCAGATGGAGGCTGCTGACTAGTAGTGACCCTTAGGGGTCAATACTGGGACCAGTACTTTTCAATATCTTCACCAACGACATAAGACAGTGGAATCAAGTGCACTTTCAGTCCAAAATGCCAACTGTATCCTGGGCATCAAAACAAGTGTGGTCATAAGGTTGAAAGAGATGATTGTCCCCCTCTGCTCTGCTCTGGTGGGACCCCACCTAGGGTACTATGTCCAGCTCTGGAGTCCTCAGCACAGGGAAGACATGGCCATGAGGCAGTGGGTCCAGAGGAGGGCCACCAAAATGATCAGAGATGAAACACCTCTCCTAAGAGGAAAAGCTGAAAAGAGTTGGGGCTGTTCAGCCTGGAAAAGAGAAGGCTTCAGAGAGACTTTATTGCAGCCTTTCAGCACTTAAAGAGGGCTTTTAAGAAAGATGGGAACAAACTTTTTCAAAGGGTGTGTAGTGATAGGACAAGGGGTAATGGTTTTAGTCTAAGAGACAGTAGATTTAGGCCAGATTTAAGGAAGAATTATTTTACAATGGGAGTGGTGAAACACTGGAATGGATTGCCCATGGAGGTAGTAGATGCTCCATCCCTGGAAACATTTAACGTCAGGATGGACAGGGTTCTGAGCAACCTTATCTAGCTGAAGGTGCCCCTGCTCAATTGCAAGGGGTTGGACTAGATGATTTTTAAAGGTCCCTTGCAACCTACACTATTCTGTGATTCTATGATTTCTCAAGAGCCCTCCTAGCCTTAGTTACTTCAGAAATGACAGCACCATGGAAAATAAATTTCATCATTAAAAATGAAAAGTTAACATATTTGTGTTGGATATAAATAGAAGCAGCAGAAATATCCCCTGAAATAAAGAATAATTAAAAGGTCCATGGCAGAAGTGTGTTGACAGGTTGGCAAATGGAACATTTCCTGTGCTGTAGATGAACACAACACTTCTCTCCATAGTATCAAACCAGCAATATCTCTGAGCATTGCATCCAAAACAGGCAGAGAGAGAAAAGTGTTATGTAATCATATGTTAGCACAATGCAGCTTGAGGGCATGTAGGGGGTGCAGATTACAAGCCACTGAAAAGGAGGGGTCCTAATAGAAATTTGGCTTATCTTGAGCAACAGGCCTCCTGCAGTTATATCAGAAGATAATAATATATCAGCCATCTGCTGATGCACAATAAATAACAGAAAAGTACTTTGCCTGCAGGCTGAAAGCGTCACTGATAACTAGACAGTGAAAACTTTTGGTTGAGTGCATATCCTGTGCAAAGAGTCACTAGAATTGGTTTGACAATAAGGCTGAATGACAAGTAATCAACAAAAATTGATTATAAGTCATGGAGAACTGAAAAAAAAAAATCCCAAACAACCAAAAAAAAAAAAAACCAACCAAAAAAGAAAAAAACACTTTAAAGAGGGAAGAATATTTCCTTACCCATGTCAGATACAAACCCTACTGGACGCTGATGTCCCGTCTTTTCTATTATCCCTAAACATACATGGCTCAGTAAGTGGCATTTTACGCACTGAGTCAATACTGAACTAGTATTAGAGCAGTAAAGATTATGTTTAATTATATTGGCTATAATTAAAGCACATAAAATTACAGGAGTAATTATATTTTTATACCTGATAATTTAAAGAGGGACTTATCTTTCCCCATTCAAAAATTAGGTGCCTAGTTTGAGTGAACTGCCCTTAGTACTTGCTGGATAAAGAGAGGTAGTATTTCCAAGGTATGATTCACCTTGGGTCTGTTAGAATAACATGAATTGCCTTCTGTGGGTCTCTTACTCTCCACTGATTACAGATGGAGTCTAGAGGACTCATATGGAGAAAAACCTCAAGTTTTACATAAGTCAGTTTAGGTGAGGTGATGATTACCCTTAAATTCCATTTCAAAAGAGCATTTTCACTTGATTTAGTGTCTGGATAGTTCAAATGGATGTATTTAAAGCTGAGGATTTCAGCATTCCTGGAGCTGCGTATGAAACAGTCTCCCACAAATTGTGCTCTGTGTGTGGCAATGCAGAGAAGGTGGATTTTGGATTCAAGACTGTAAATGAATAATTCATTGGTAAAATAATCTTTGGGAAGAAAGGATCCTGGGGGACACTGATTAATTTGTTCCTCAATGAGCAGTGATAATTAAGTGATCTGCAGTAGCCTAGATGGGTACTGGGAGGAGATGGACAAAACTGTTAATTATCAGCAAAGGCTTGTTGTTAGCTAACATTGATGGGAAAACTTAGCTTCCTTCAGTCATTCACCTGTGAAAATAAATTCATGAAACCATGGGAGAAAAAAAAAAAAAGAATTTTGAGAGAACATCTAATCATTCTATGTAGCTGCTGGAAACAACTTAAGTTATTTCCTCTTGTCTACACACAGTGTCATTACCTGACATATTTTCATGCATTTCAAAGGTTAAGAAAATTGAGGAAGGACAAGTGGGTTTTAGTATGCAAATAGCAGCTTGCACAGGGATTCTTCCCACTAAAAAGCACTAGGTAATATTAATAATTAGGTAAAATAGTATTACCACTATTAAGGTAGGTTCTCCTTTTAGTAACAACTCATTTGAGAGCAGCAGCTAGGTTGTTATAAGGATTGGAGCTGGAGTCAAATAGGGTTTAGATACCAGGCACGGTGAGCACATGGGACTTTTGGTCCAAGCTTCAAAGGGTAGGAGAAAGAGAGAAAAGAAAACACAAAAACCTACCTGACCATCTGCAGTATTTTTTGCAAGACAAGGGACAAATCTGTTAGGCATCAATACATGCTAGAAGCAGAAACAGCCCTAATCTTTCATTTGCTGATGCCAGCTGCAAGGGGCAGAATGATGGTGATGTCTCATATCTGTGCACCAATGCACAGATTTTTTGCATCTCTCCAAGAATCTTTAATTCCCACTGACTCCCAGCATAGGAGCTCCTCATATTGGTCATCTCATGCCTATGTTCTCCTTAGACATGAACAGAACCAACTCTGAGATTTAGTTACTTTCCAAAATAGGTTTGAATTGTGAGGATTAGTTATCCAATACCCAAGCACAATTTCAGGTCTCACTGATTTCAGTGGAGATGGAAGGGAAGAATATCCCCTTTAGAAATTACCGTTGGTGATATTTTCATGTTGTGTTGTCTGTGAAGGCTTTTTTCACATGTTCCTTCCCCCCCCTACACACACACACACACACACACACACACACACAAGCGTATATGCAAACATCCTGGTTTTCTGCAGTATATTTTTTAACTAAAGCCTAACTCCACACCTGTAGAGCTTGATTTCCCTCTATAGTGAGTATCTAAGGTGAAGTTTTACACTAATGTTAGCCCTGCAGCTTTACCAGGCAGAGGCAAAGAACAACGAGAAAATACTTTACCATCTTCAGAGATGATAAATCTGAACAGTGCAGGACACTTGACAAAGACTATTTCACCCACACTTGCAGGTTTCCAGCATGTAATATTGTCCCACATTCCTGGGCAACCTATGGAAGGAGGGATAAAATACATTAATAGTGGAAATCCATTGCACTTTAGAGTTGGTTCTTTTTTCTATCCATGAAAAAATATGTTTGTTTAGAATGATAAACAGTATCATTTTCTAGTAAGCTTTCCCTGGAACAAAATAATTTTCATTCATAGGAATAGCATAAAACAGTAGTTGAATGGCACAATACTGGACAGACTTTACCCTTATAGGAGATGACATTCCTTAGTCTCAGCTAAATCACTCCAGCATATACCAGAAACAAATTTTCCCTTGAGCATGAAATCTGCTATCCAGTAGTACTGGGTTAAACCTTCTCTTATTTATGGATCACATCTTTGATTTAAATTCTATACATTTCTGCTGGCTGTAATCCTTGTCAAAGTTTGGGTACTGGTACATTTTGGAATTTGACTCAGGGTGATGCCCGGAAACTGAAAAAAAGATTCTGCTTCATCCTACAGCCATTTTTCCTGGGTGTGTGAAGGGAAGTTCATCTCTTTCCTGTTTTTTTGTTTTCTTAAAAAAAAAAAAAAATACTGGGAATAGCAATGTGATTCCTTACTAAAGAACTGCTACAACATCATTCACTATCTTTACTGAAGTCTTTGCTCTAGAGAATATAAACTCACAATGTCAGAAGAATGGTTTTAACCTCTAGTGATTACTTGCATAAGCTAAAGACAGAATCGGGCCTTTAAAAACTGTTCCGAAATTTCAGATAATCTTGTTACTTGAGGTAATAAGCCTTGAACTACAACTATGAATGGTAAAGATCCAACTTCCTGTTACATGCATGCTGAAAGAAGAGGTGATGACATTGTGGATGGGAGTTGTTTTCTCTTAGGAAAAATTCATGCCTCGTGCTACTGTAAATACAACAAAGGAGCTCAGCTCCTGCTTTATTCTGATCACTGTGTCAGAGTTATGACTGGCTGGAAAGAAGCAAACCCTCTTATAATTCTCTAAACCACCATCTTACTAGCTCATAAATCTAGAAGACTTATCCAAACTTATTCAGTGTACAGAAAAACTCAGAGCAATCTCTCAAATTTCCTAATGCTTACAAAAATGATGTAGTGAAGGAATCTCAAATGGGAACCATTTTCTACCTCAGCAGGAAAAGAAAGAAAAACTAAATCTAAATATCTCCACTACTTATTTGCATTTATTGTTGAGATTAAACACATAATCTTATCAACTGTTAAAAGACCCAAGCTCCATGATTTCCTAAGGGTTTTCTGCTAATATGCTCTCTCTTTGAATATGTGCCAAGCAAAATAAGATCTTCAGTGAAAGCAGATAGTACTTCAAAGTGTCATACTTTTAGACTGGCAGAAGTACAGTATAATGAGTTATGGGTGTTCAACTTCCAAAAACAATGTGGGCTTTATCAACTTTGGGGATAGTAGCAGATTTGCATCACTGGAGAATGTATGTTCACAGGATTGGAACTGATGCATTTTCTCCATCAGCTTTGGTGGCAGGGAATCAAGTTCTCTCTTTTCTCACAAAAATCTAAACCAAGTACTACTAAGTGTGCTGGTTGGGCAGTTCTTGAGTGATACAGTGTTTGAAGAATTGTGTCAGTGTCAAACAATGTTACAATCACAGCATATGATAAGCAGTTGGTGATCTTTCTTACAAATTCAATGATGCAGCATCAGATTATGTAATATTGATTAAAAATCATGCAAACTCCCAGCCCTGTTAGGTAAGAAAACCTTCAGCTTTGACAGATCCATAAAGATACAATATTACTGAAAAATGCTCATTCAACCATTGCAAGAGCTGGAAAAAAAAAAAAAAAAATCTTTAAAATTTCTCCCTCCTCCTCTTTTTTTCACTCCTACCCCAGGTTGTTTCCTTTGCCAGATGAGGATCTCATTATACAAGTACTGTGATTCACTAGAATGTCTCCAAAAGGCTCAAAGGCTGGGGCTTGAAAAGTTTTGGGATACAGTTAATGTACTAAAAATGGAAATCAAGATCACATTAAGCACTGTTAGATTTTATTGTCTTTGATAGCTAGCGTCTGTCCGCACAGTAGGAACTATATTTACCATGCAAATGTGAAGACACGTAGTAATAGGTTTATAGTTCACTGCTATGTTGCGCTCTGTACAAAATTAAAGGATATGTAAATATCCATGGTAATGAGGAATTTACTTACAAGAGGTGTTAGAGACAATCAAAATGGCTAATGAGATCTTCTGAGAACCACCTGCTAGTCTTGCTTGCTTAAATTTAATGGGTTTGATAGCAAAAAGGAAAAATTTCTTATTTTTGATTATTATTTTAACATCAGTTGTCTTCCAAACACTAGGATAGTAATACTGCAAACCAATCCAGAAAAATGCAAGGAAATCCTCATGCTGCATAAAGGAAAGTGAAGACATGGAATAAATATTTTATAGCACTGTGTTTCAAATTCAGTTATACCAGGTGGTTGTTTTTTTGTGGTAATACCATGCAGAGCTAAAAAATAGCCCCATTTAAAAAGCCATTATAAGTTCATTGCGCTAGAAAGCGCTGATGTGCTGACATTGGAAGAGAGGAAGAAAGAAGCAGAGAGTCAAGTAATTTGCCTTAGTTACTAAAAGAGGTGAGGGAGAGAATGGAAAGAATTCACTGTCAGTGAGAATATTGCCTGATCCTGCCTGGAAAAGCATACTTGGAAAAAATAATTTAGAAGTGCAAAGAAATAGATGACAAAATATTAAATAGAATAAAGGCCAGTGTTCAGTATCCCTTACATTTGCAAACCATGATGCAGCCAGCAACTCCTGCTGGGTGAAATATGCCCACGGAAATCAATGTGACTTGAGTGTGAAACTGCACAGCAGGGTCCTCTTCTGGCAGTGACGGTATGTCTCCATTGCTGTGTGGCTTAGGAATGCCCAAGCTAGCTTTGAAAGAAGTAGCTCAGATACTGCAAGCAGCAAGGTGAAGGTTTGAGTGGGCAATTTTTCCTTGTTCTTAATATGTTAGAAATTAGTAACAACAAGTTACATTTTTAAAGAATAAGATTTCATGTGGGCCAGAGTAAAAAAGAAAAATATGGTGGTCTTCTTAATGGATGGTCTTAAAAACAAGGCACCTTGAAGAAAGGACAAATTCTGCCCTCCCTTCCCATATCTGCACTAAAACTTGTGTTTGGTAAACATTGTAAGATTCATCTTGTCTAACGTAAGTCATGTGAAGCTTGGCATCTAGTTTTGGATAAGTACTCAGGCTCTCGTAGCACGGGCAGAAGAGTGTTTCATATTATTCAGCTAGTTAGCTCTTCTTCAGTGGGATGGATGAATCTTTGGGACCCCCTATTCCTTGTCACTGACTTTTGAGGACAAACAAAGTGGTCATTGAACTACAGGATTAGTCAGAACTGGTCTGTTTTCAGATGGCTGAGACTTACCCATTGTCCTGGTTTTGGCTGGGATAGAGTTAGTTTTCTTCCTAATTTTTACCCTCTTCAGCTAAGGAAATTTTTTTCTGTAGTTCCTGAAGGAGACTTTCCAGATAGGCATAATCCCATTTTAAGGTGACAGTGGTGGTGAATCACCATGTGAAGTGTACTTCCATCTCTCCACTGACTACACTCAGCAGAACAAGGACAAGAACCAGCTTACCCTAAAGAGCTTCTTATTGAATGGCTGAAGCTTGTATTCCCTATGTAGAGTTTATGTGGACTTCTGGAGTAGGTATGACCCAACTCTGCCCCTGTTCTTTGAAAAAGAACAGCTCTTTCATAACAAGGGGGAAACTATGGAGATTTATCATTGCAGAATCTTCTGATACATTTCTTAAAATTATACCCAGCACTTTTCCCATCCCTCACTTCAAATTAATCCTCTTGGAGCAAAACACTTTCTCTCTAACCTGATACTCCTGGCAGCTGAAAGGCCCCCTTCTTACCTGAGATGTCTGGACAAGCACCAAGAGGGAAAACAAAAAAGCAAGCAATACTGTTAGAATAGCAGAGATAAAGATCTCTTCTGAAGTTGCTTACAGTCCCTTATCTTTTTCTGCTCTGTCTCAGGCTATCTTGAGAGTGCCAGTTTTGATAGTGGCTATCTATAAACCCAGATTTTAGATGGCCCCATAGCTGAAGTTTGCCAAATTCAAGGAGTGGACCTCAGTTTAAATCCACTGATTACATAGCCTGCTATCTTCCACAAACACAAAGTCACTATGTCACCAGGACTATGTACAAACTGTTCTATAGGTTTGTGTCCTGTTTTCTTATGGTGTCTCTACTGCAATACCCTTATTTATATATATATATATATATATGTATGTATGTATGTATAAAAATCTCTATATTTAAATCCTTTTTGCAGAATCCACAACATCCTCCTATGTCCTTATCCTGCCCTTGGGAAAAATGCCTCCTTCTTGTCTCTGCTAACTTTTTGGCAAGAGAAGGTGAAAAAGCAGACTTTTTTTTTTTGATTGCGAGACCCTGTATACAAATTCACTGCTCAACTTGCTCACTCCTCTTAATAAAGTAGGTAAGTTCTACCTTTCCCCATCTCCATGGAAATGACTATTTGACATCTTTCTTGTGCTCAGCACACCATATTAAAAAACATATAGGAGTCTGCATCTTTGAGACAGCGCACCTCTGTCAAAAGTTGCTGACTTTATCCAGTGGACTCAAAATTACTGGGTGAAGGGGAGGGAGTGAAAAAAGGAGTGGAAGGACTATGGACAAAGGGATTCATGGATTCATACACAGACAAAAGGGAATAGAAAAGAATTTTCATAAAATCAGTTTCTGTGGGAAATTAAGAAAAAATGTAAATACATAAATGCTAGAATGCGGTTATTTTTCATATATGGAAATAAAGGCTTGAGATGAAAATCCATCCTTTCAGCTTGCAGCATTCAGTTTGGTTTTCAGTTCCTCTCCTCATTTATTAGTTTAAAATATCACCTTCAAGGTCATATCGCCTTCAGTAGAGTAATATGAAAGGAAATTCAATGTTACAAGCCAGC